CTGAGAGAGGATGAGGCCCCGAGCCACGCCTGTGGTGGCCTTTGTCCACAGTGAGGGAGTACTGCAGTCCTCCCTGCCCCCTCTTGTGATGCTCAGTTATAAACAGTGGTACATACAGAGTCTCAAAGAAGATTTAGTGAATAAATACATGGAAGTAGTTCACATTTCTTCTTCCAACTCTCTGGACTTTTTCATGTTCAAGTTTTGAAAATAAATGACTTCATTTTGGTCATTGGCTTTAAAACATCTCGGTATTAAGATTTATATTTATTCTGTTTTGTTTTTGTTTTCATTTTGTGGTACCAGGGATTGAACCCAGAGAATGCTATGTCCCCAGACTTTTTTTTTAGTTTTTATTTTTAGACAAGGTCTTACTAGGTTGTCCTGGCTGGTCCCAAATTTACAATCCTCCTGCTTCAGCCTCCTGAGTTGCTGGGATTATAGCAATGTGCTACCGTGCCTGGCACATTTATTCTTTTGTAAGACTGTACATGTGACCTTGTGCTCCTAGATTTAGGTTATTTTATTTGATATTTACTTCAGATTTTATTTCACCTGATTAATTCATTTGGATCTCTAAAACTACATTATGAAATACTTTAATTATTTAAATTAGGAACAGATGAATTATTTTTAGTGTACAAACTCAAATTCATTACAAACCTGAGGTTTAGCACGATTAATCTTGGAGTGTTTAAGGAACCAAGTGGGTTTTTTGTCTATTTCTTTCTGGGGTTTTTTTTTCTCCTCCTTAAGGAGAAGGACACACTGTATTTGATTTGATGGATTTCTGTCCATCACACCAGATATGCTAACAGGAACAAGAAATGTACAAAGAAACTTTAGGTGGATTTTATAAACCAGCCAGAAACCCGTGTATCTGAGGCTTCTGGGGGAACAATCTGTGAGTCATTTTGAAAAACAAACACACTCATAATCACAGCGCATGCTGTTACCATGGTAATCAGGCCTGTTGTGTTGGCTTGCTCATGTTTCTGTAGAGAGGAGAAGAGGAGAGAAACGGACAATTCAGAGCTTTGACTGTCAGCTCGGTTTGCCTGTTGCAGGGGAGTTGAAGGCTTTCTTGAGAGCACACTGACAGTCATCCTGAGAGGGCAGGGAAGATGTTGTGGCATCTTGCCTTGGTTATGGAACAGAAGCTGTCTGTGTTACTGTTGGGCATTGCATTTCACGGGGAGAAAAGGATTAGTTGGCATTCTCTATGGAAGAAGGGGAAAATAGTTTCTTTACCTGATACGTAATTACTTGCAAGTCTCTGAGGTCAACCTAGTGAGCAGGAACAGGGCTCTAATGATCCTTTAACAGGTGCCAAATGCCATCGGCACAGCATTGCTGCAGATTGAAATGATCCTCAGAGGGTGGTTGTAATTAGATCACTGTTTCTGATCTGATTCACAAGTGGATCCTGCATCTTTGGTTTATGGACTGGATATGACTCCTCCTTTACCTGGAACAACCATCTTATTACACAGACTCATGGGTCGCCAAGGAGACCAGGGGAGTTTGGGAGGTCTGCTGAATCTGTCATCGTGCCAGGGAAAATAAAATCGAAGCGCACCCTTGGGTGGCGGTGTCCCAAGAAGTCTGGATCTCCTCTTAAGTGTATAATTATAATATATTGACTGAACTTTTATTCTTAGAGGATATTTCAAGTAGATTTTAAAGCAGGTTTTATTTAGCATTGAGACAACTTTTCCTTACTAAAAATATTTTTTCAAAAGAGTTCAAATAGGGCCGGGGATTTAGCTCAGTGGTTCTGCTACCGGCCTTGCAGGCGCAAGGTTTCAAGTTCGATCCCTGGTACCAAAACAAAACAAAACAAAACAAAAGAGTTGAAATAAAGTGAGGTGTGATTAAAGGATCTTATCAACTTTAGTTCATGCGCGCGCGTGCGCGTGTGTGTGTGTGATGTGTCTTGCTGTGTGACATAACTACTTCTATAGACTTTATTTTCATTCTCATATGTGGAAAGGAGGCTTCTGTTGCCCAAACTTCATTTTGGGTTTAATTTTCTCATATTAGTTTAAAAAAAAACTTAATTTTTTCTGATCATGGAAGTCGTTCATTGCAAATTTGGGATATAATGAAAATTTTAAAGAAAATATAGGAATGGTCCCATTTAGTAGTTATTGATTGAACTGCATCTTGCAGAGGCCTGATTTTACAGTGGCTAACAAAAGTTAGAAGTGATTTCTCTCTAACATAACAATCCAGAGGTGGGTTGCCTCTGCTAAGATACTTCTACTCTACAAGTCCAAGCAGGGACTCGGCCTTCTCCAATCATATCGGTGATTCTTTCCCAGTGTGTTTCTTTTGCTTTCATAGTCTAAGGTGGCTTTCCATGAAGACCCTACTATAACCAGCAGGAAGGGAGAAAAGTGGAAGGGGAGGGCATTACCCGGAAGTTACATGTATCACTTTAGCTTTTGTCCCACTGATATTGATCACAGAGCCACATGCCTAGCAGCAAGGGAGGCTGAAACAAATAGCTACTTTTGGCGTGTATGTGCATAGCTTAGACATCTATTAAAAACATGGAAGAAAAGGAGAGCAGATCTGGGGCATAGTAACAATGTCTGCCGATTTCATTGCCCTGTAAAACAAAGGCAATATTTTATTTACATTTTGATGTATTTTCTTTCACTGTTTTGTGAAAAATATGTACGTATCAGAAAGATACACATATAATGCAAATTAGAAGATGTTATGTTGGCACATAATTTATCCCTGTATAATATATAAAATGTTATGTTAGCATGTATATGTATGATACATTAGAAAATAGTATATATTAAAATAGAAAAAATACATTAGAAAAGTATTGTACATGGAAAATATACAGCAGAAAAACATCATGTACCCCTAATCTTTGGGGATGCCTTGCACAACCCCTAGTGGATGCCTGAAACTGCAGATGCTACCAAACCCTCAATATATTATGTCTTTTCCTATATATTCATACCATTCCTACCTTATTTTATAAGTTAAACACAGTAAGAGATAACAATAATAAAGGAGGATATCACCTGCTGCACAAGCGCAAGAACCTGAGTTCAATCCCCAGTACCAATAAATAAATAAAGGAGGACAATTATAACAATATACTGTCATAAAAATTATGTGAATGTGGTCTTTCTCTCAAAATCGCTCATAATACTGCCCTTGCCCTTCTTGTGATGACATGAGATGATTCAGGGAGTGACATGAGCACTGTGATATGGTGTTAGGCCACCTTGAAGGGTAACTTGAACACAAAATGTGATATCTCTCAACAGTGGATGTGATAACTGAGACCTCTACCAAGTGACTCTGAGGTGGGTAGCATCTACAGTGTGGACACTCTGCACAAGGGTGGTGGTTCATGTCTTGGCCAGGGGAGAATATGTGAGATTTCATCACATGACTCAGAGTGGGGTGCTATTTAAAATTTAGGAATTATTTATTCCTAGAATTTCCCATTTAATATTTTCAGATAATATTTGACTGTAACTGATACCAAGCAAAGTACAACTTCTGGAAGGAGGGACTACTGCATACATAAATTTATATACAGTATTTGAAAATCAATTGAGGTCACACTATGACATTTTCTATTTGTCTCTTTTATACTTAATATCACGTGTTTTTTGTGTTTTCCTCATCATTTACATTTTTTGTATCTGTTGTTTATTCTATTATGTGAAGTTCTGTTTAATTTAGGAAGTTGTATTTTGATAATTAGGTTCTTTTCAACCCTGTGGTAATCATTCTTTATCTACTTTTTGTTTTTGTTGATGTTGTTGTTGTTAAAGTCAAGGAGTAGAATTGCTACAATATGTTTGGGGACATATTTGAATCTCTTGATAAGTAATGCCAAACTTCTTGGCAGAGAGATTGTGCCACTTGATACTACTAGGCATAATACACATGAGTGCTGATGTGTATACACCCTTGAACAGGCTTGTTTTGCAAGTCCCACTTAGTCCTTGTTATTCCCGGGGCTTATTCTCTGAAAATAGGTTGTTTTTTGCCCTTGGCTTATTTTCTTTCCCTTTGCTGTGATTAATCATGAGATAATGGTTTTTTAAATAACTTTGGCTGGTTTTAAAACATATGACCTTCTAGAGTAGTCTGGGAATATAGTTCATTGGGTCTAGACTGAAACATACCTGCCAGCTTCAAGCATTGTGAGATTTCCAGAGACACTGATGTTCATTTGGTTGTGGGACCCAGTGTGAATTTGGTTTCTACCCTCAATCAGACTGCTCTTGATCCTGAGTCAGAACAAAATAAGAATGGTGAAGTGGCCCCTGGGTCTTTGGCAGTTTCCTTTGGGCTGGGCATACTGTCAATTTTCAAGAGGAAAGAAGCTCCTTTATGTAGGAACCTTCTCATTCTCGTACATGAGGCACACTGGGTATGAGGCAAAGTTCAGCTAACTGCTCAACACTCACAGGGGGCATTAGTGTCCAAAAGTATGGATGCCTTTGCATCTCTAAAGTGCCTGCAGAAGCCATGGGTGACTTTTCTAACCAATAACTTGTCCTGACCTGCCAGATACACACAAGCAGTATGTACTCTAACTCCATCCCTAACGCCTGAGCTCTGCATCTCTTCAGCTTTGGTCCTGGAGGAGCAAATCAGGTTAGGTCAGGAGGAAAGCTCATTCTTGTTCCTCTCATGGTCCAGGTACATGATCTCCGTCATCAAGAACTCTGCTTCCCCTAAATTACTATGCAGCCTTTGTGAGTTCGTGTTTTCTTGCAAGCCAGTGAATTTCACAAAGAAAAGGACTCCTATTTCACATACTGTATCTGTTTCTTAAAAAGAGATCACAAAATGTTTCTGGACTCCAAAATGTGAACCCGTAAGATCCCCTGCCCTTAGAACCATACTACCATTACCTCCAAGCTTGGTTACAGAGCCTTCGTTTGGACTGATATATTATGCTATTTTGCATTTTCTTAAAACATACATTTTCATCTCTGTTTTCTCAACAGCCAGATCTGCCAGTGAGCCTCAGGCTTTGGGAATTGGCGAGGTAAGAATTCTAAATATTTTCTTCTTTTATGATCATCTTTAAGCAGAACTTCAAGAGGGGTCAAAACTATCTTAAGCAGTTCTATAGATGAAAGCATTTAAGCATGTGATGTTTTGAGGAAGAGAAACACAGAGTCTTTAAAATGTTGATGTGACTTTGGGATTTAAAGAAAAAAATTCTCTTTAATGATAGTTAAAATTGGATTTTCACCCAGATTTTCCCATTATCTTATAAAATCTGAGCCGGAAAACCTTTGAAGTTGCTGCTTTAACAAGGCATCCTTATGGCACCAAACATGATTAATGGGTTGTAGACATGGAGGACAGAGCCTGTGCAGACAGAAGCTCAGATAAGATTAGATCAGAGGAGGGAAACCCTGCTCTTGCACATTGATCACAGATCTTGGACGCTGACTTTTCTGAAAGAACAGCAACAGCAATAACAATAACAACAACAAAAGGTCCGCCTGTTGCAGGTGGGGTTCTTCTGGAAGAAGCTTAGCCTTTGTACATAGCTAAAGCCATTCCAATCTGGTGGTAGACTTGAAAGGTCACCAGGATCCTGAGACAGATTGGATATCTGCTTCAACCAAGACAAACATTTCCCTCTAGTCAATGACAGGTTCCCCACCCCACCTTCCTTTTACAATTTAACTTCATTATGAAGAATTTCCAGCTGATACCAAAGGAGAGATAATAATATAATAAAATTGTGTATCCTCACTATGCAATTTCAACAAATATCAACTCAGGTTCAGTATTGTTTTATTTATACTCCTACTCACCTCTCTTCTTTCCTCAAGATTTTTACTGCATGGCAGGTTGAATCTGATTGTCGGATTTCTTTTTCCATTTGTTTGTTTTTTGTTTTTTTGGTACTGGGGATTGAACTCAGGACCTTGTGCTTTCCAGGCAGGCGTAGTGCCACTGAGCTACGTCCCTGGCCCCTGATTGTTAGATTTCTGATTTTTACCAACATGACTGTTTCATGGCCATAGAAAACGCTAAGAAAAAGTAAAACTTTTCGATCCCAGGTACCAAAAAAAAAAAAAAAGTCAAACTTGCTTATAGCTGAATCAGTGTACTGGACTTAATCAATTTGTTGGCAATGTTAATTTATTCATTCATTCCACAAATATTTATTTAGCCCTAATTAGGCAACAGATCTTCCTTAGGACAAGACGGCCAATTATCTTTAACTCACATTTACAAGGTGCTCAGAGCTGAACTTACATCTCTAGATAAGGTTATCCATCAGCGACACACTGACAGAAGAAATAAAGACACTGCATACAACTGGAAGAGTTAAACGTAAACATTAGATGCCACAATTTCAAAACAACACAATGTTTGAAAGCTGCTTTTGACTCTTGTTCAGTTTTTAATATAATGGCACTATGCAAACACAACCTAACACAAGTCTTCTGAGCCCTCCAAGCAGATGAGCCTTTCTCTTTTATCGTGTTTCTGCATGAATTGGCCTCCCTGGTAAGAAAAGCTCATAGAGCAGACATGGCTTTTGACTTGTTAGAAATTTTGCCTCCAGCACATAGTCAGCATGTCTGGTGCTTGTTATATACTTAATAAAACTGTTTAATGAATGAACAAAAGAATGAAGGCCAGATGCTGGGAATCTGAAGATGAGAAACACACGGGCCTGGCCCCAGAGCTGCTTAGCATCATGGAAGGAAAATGTGGCCCAGCAGGAGGCCTCTGTGTGAGGGGGAGCACCCAATGTGGTTGCAGGAGATCAGGGCTGGCTTGGTGGCCATGGGGCAGGGAAATGCCATGGGCGGAGCAGCATGTGAGCCATGCCATGGAGCACCCTCAGCCAGAGAAGAAAGGAAAACAGGGCTCTGAGAATAAGCAATCACACAGGGAAGACAGAGGCCCCAAAGTGCATCATGCAGTCTGAGAGATTTAGAGTGGCCAGGGTGTGGCCAGAAAGTAGGAGAGTTGACTTGGGAGGCCAACCAAGGGACCCTGGAAAGAACCCTGAGTGCTGTTCATGACCAAGAGTCCCGGGGTCTCTGCTGAGTGGGAGGCAGCAAGGGTCATGGAATCAGGATTTTCTGTGAAAGAACAATTTCTTACGTAGCAGGGTGCATGCAAAGGAGAGCAGTGAGGATCTTGTGTCTATAAACGATGGGCTGGATTTGGAAGGGCTGATGGAATTGCTGGTGAACATGAGGCATGGAGAAGAGGAAGACATCCAGAATAACTCCTAGATGTCTCTTTGGGGAAGTTAGATGGAGTGATAATCAGGAGGGAAGAGAAGATGAGCTTCAGATCTGAGGAGTGACCTCATCCACGTGGCATGTCCCACAGGCTGTTCTCCACTGGGCAGATGGTGACTGCACATCACCAGTCTCCAGGGACGCATTGAAAAGCAGGGAGACACAGACTCTCCCCAGACCTGCTGAGCCAGAATCTTTAGGGGAAAAGCCTGGACATCTGCAGTTTTTAAAGCTTCAAGGTGATTTCAAAATGTAGCCAGGGTTGAGAATCTGTGGTCTAGAGCTTATTAGAAGAAACCCTTGTTGTGTGTATGCTTTTAACACCATGTATAACTTCTTATATCGTATAATCACATTACTTGAATATAAAGACTTAGTATCATTCATCCCTGTATTCTACCCCAATATTGCTAATAACAAGAGCTGTTTTATAAGTATCTAATGTTCTCTGATGTTCGTGTTGGTTTCTTTCATGCTACTCAGTGGACCGAAAATTTCCAAATTGATCCACGAAGGGTTTCTCAGTGGGGGTTGCTGATATGTTGATGGGGTGATTTTTCACTGTGGTCTTTGGGACTCATCTTTGGCTCAAAGAAGGTGTCTTCTGGCCGTTGTGATACACAGAATGCCTTAGAGAGACACTGAGAACTACTGCTTCTTACCACACAACTTTAAGGAAATTATTTGGCATTTTCTATCCCCTTAAAAGCATTTTTCCTTCATGCAAAATTACTAGTTTTGGTTATGCTCAGTGGTTCTGGGTGTAAGTGGTTTTGCTGTGCTTAACAAACTAAAGAAAAAAACTAAACAAAGTGGACAAGTGAAAGGAAGTATTGTTTTGTACTCCCAGGGATTCTGAGTATATTTGGTCTAGCACTAAACCTATTTGTTAAGTCTGCATAGAGAAGCAAATTAAACATGAGGTAAGCAATGATGAAATATTGAGATTTGAAGAAGCTGCTAAGCATCATGCAAATTGTACTGTAGCAGCAATGGAAGCTGTATTAGTTGTGTGTTGCTTTTGTGACACATTACCAACTTAGTGGCTTGAAGCAATACAAATTGGACAGTTCTGTGGGTTGGTTCTATAGGGATCTCACTGGGCTATAAGCCAAGTGTCAACAGAGCTGGCTTTTCGAAGGCTTTGGGGAGAATCCATTTTCTCATCTTTCCCAACTGCTACAGGCCACCTCCCTCCAGTTTCCAGGCCAAGGCCAGGAACATTGTAGTTCTGTGTACTTTGTCCTGGTCACATCCCCTTCTCCCTCTGAACTCAGCCAGGACGGTTCTCTGATTGTTAAGGACCCAGGTGACAAGGTTGGGCACACCTGGATAAACCCAGATAATCTCCTCATTATAAAGTCCTGAGTTTAATCATATCTTCAAAGTCCGTTTATCCAGATAAGGTTACACTTTCACAGGTTCTGGGGATTAGGGCATGGACCTAGTTGGGGGCTATGATACTGCCTGCTACAAAGTAAAGCGACTAATTGTTCAGAAAGGAATGCTTCAGGTAGTAGAGATAGGATCTTGTAACATTCAATTATACAGACTTGAGAAGGTTTTGAGTTCCCAAATTAATGAAGCAAGTTCTTGTCTTGACTCTGTAATTTCCGTTGTATAGGCCCAGGTACTGAGGCTTTTTGGTTTTCTTGGAGTATTTGGCATCGGAGCAAGTGGACAGGTTGGACTCCAATGGTCCTTTTTTGGCCAGACTCTCTGGTACTACAGGTGTGGCTTGTGGAGTTTGCTGCTTTTGGCATTCCCTCAACTCCGGAGAGTCTGCCTACAGCACAGAGGTTCCAAGGTATTTGAATAAAACCAAAGAAGAGTGAGGCTCTTATTTTATGCTGTTATGTCTGCCTGTCATAGTATGCATTATTTATTAGGCTCTAAAATGTGGAAACGGGGGTAAAATAATGCAATATTTCAGAAACTCATGTAGCGTTATTATAGCCTATTTCTAGGCATAGTTTAATTTTCTCCATATATTAGGTACGTCATCCCCCAAAGCAGGAAACCATTTCTTGCCTGGTGAATAAAGTAGACCATTGGGTTATTGAGTTATTGTTGAAAACCATCTTTCGAGTGGAATGTGGCTAGAGGCTTTTGGTGCAGGTTTTCAGTTTTTTAGCTGCTTTTGTTGCATCTCTCCTTTCTATCCATTTTTAGATACTCCACCAACACAGTCCTGAAGTCCAAACATAGGGCAACAACTGTCCTGAGTGGCCTGAGACTGAGAGGTTTCCTGGGAAGTAGGACTTTCAATACTAAAACTGAGAGAATCCTAGGGTATTAGGATAGTTGGTGACCCAAAGTGTCTAACAAAATGCTCCAATGGAAAATAGTCCCATGTCATGTTGATGAATTGTTAAAATAGAAATTTTAATTGAATTAAATAATGAAGACAACCACCATGGTTTGGGATGAAAATGGTGGCGAATCCAATTCTTCTGACAAACTCTAGCTTTGTATACAGTTAGCCCTTCACATTCATGAATTCTCTTTCCATGGAGTCAACCAAATGCAGATGTAAAATATTTGGAAAAAAAATTGCTTTTGCCCTGAACATGTACAGACTTTTTTCCTTGTCCTTATTCCCCAAACAACTGTTGTTACTGTATAACAACTGTGTACATAGCATGTGCATTGTAGGAGATATTTTGGAGATAATAAGAGTATATAGGAAGATGTACAGCAGGTTTTATATAAACACTATGTCATATAATTTAAGGGATTTGAGCATCACAAATTTTGCATCTTC